GCTAGTGCTAATACCTGGTGCTCCATGTAGAGGACATCCTGGCCTTTCCATTGATATGTCATTTGATGAGGTGTGTCATTCACTACAGGAGTTCTACCTTTTCAAAATGGCTGCCATCTCAGCAACCACATTTTATGATGTGTCTAAAGCCCACAGTTGGTATGTTTAGGTAGGAAAATGTTTTAGCTCATTTGTTATTGAGATGCATAAAAGTTTAACGACCTAATAGTATACTTTTTTTGATTTCCTCTGTTGTGGGCACTGGAACTAACTTAATCTGTTTTTACAACCCTATTTCCAAAAAAGTTGGGACGCTGTGCAGAATGTAAATAAAAATAGGATGCAATGATATGCAAATCATGTAAACCTACAAAGACAACATATCAAATGTTGAAACTGAGAAATGTTATTGTTTTTTGAAAAATATATGCCCATTTTGAATTTGATGCCAACAACACATTCCAGAAAAGTTGGGACAGGGGCATGTTTACCACTGTGTTTCATCACCTCCTCTTTTAACAACACTCTGTAAGCGTTTGGGAACTGAGGAGACCGACTGCTGTAGTTTTGAAAGTAATCTCTTTTCCCATTATTACTTGATATAGGATTTCAGCTGCTCAACAGTTCAGGGTCTCTTTTGCCATATTTTTCATTTCATAATGCGCCAAATGTTTTCAGTGGGTGACAGGTCTGGACTGCAGGCAGGTCAGTTTAGCACCCAGACTCTTTTAATACGGAGCCATGCTGTTTTAATACATGCAGAATGTGGTTTGGCATTGTCTTGCTGAAATAGTTAAGGCCTTTATGTGCACTAATGTACCCCTAAACCATCATGAATACTGGCTTTTGAACTGTGCACTGATAACAAGCTGAGTGGTCTTTAGCCTGGAGGACACAGTGTCCATGATTTCCAAAAAGAATTTCAAATGTTGATTTGTTGGACTAAAGGACACTTTTCCACTTCCCTTCAGTCCATCTTGAATGAGCTCCGGCCCAGGGAAGGTGGCAGCATTCCTGGATCCTGTTTATATATGGTTTCTTCTTTGTGTTTTAGAGATTTAAATTGCATCTGTGGATGCTGCGACGAACTGTTTTCACAGACTGTAGTTTTCAGAAGTGATTTCTGAAAATAGATTTCTCTAGGTTCTCTGAATCCTTTAATGATATTATGTACCATACATGAAGAAAAGCAAAAGTTCTTTGCTGTTTTACGTTGAGAAACGTTATTCTTGAATTGTTGCACTACTTGCTTATGCTGTCTTTCACAGAGTGGTAAACCCCTCCTCATCTTTATTTCTGAAAGACTCTATCATTTAACAGTAGTAGGAAAGTTTAGCTTTCTCACCGCAGTAAGCTACCTAATATGTTATGCAGTCCCAGGAACAACAACCTGGGGACATCATACAGTTGTGCTGACCCTGTGATTTTATTCCTATATGTTAACCTTAGAGCAGTGCATTTAATAATACCAGCTGTAGAAAAGTAGATTTATGTAGCTTTAGTATTTTGACCATACTGGTTTTCCAACAATGATTTAAATAATTTTATTGTTGGTATTATTAGACTTTGTTATTCTAAGAACATCATCTTGAGACCTCCCATGCCCCTAGATACATAGATATAGATACATGAATAAATAAATGAATAATGAATCTCACTATACAGTAGGAGGAATGGAGGTCTTTTAATCATAGCAGTAAAGTTACAGTACTGGATCCTTCATCCTGCAAATAAAACTTCATTTGTATTCTGAATGATCAGTGAATAAAACTGGGAATAACATTTAAGTACATGTGATAAGTAAATAGCTTGATCTTTTATGGATATTTGCAAATTTCACCAAGCTTGTTAGCCTAATTCTGTCATCTTTTTGTTTGCAGAGACAACATTTTCTATGGAGAAAGGGAAAAAGGTATGTGCACATTAAAACAATTACTGTATTCTAAATGGAATGTGATGCTAAAGTGTGCCTTATCTAACACATTTATTAAATTTATTTTTACATAAGGCTTTTGATGCCCCCTCATTCACTGCTGGCCTTATTAGATGATGGACAGTGGATGATGTTATACTAGACATTTAAATTGAGGTACTTGTGTATATATACAATTGCAATCAAAAATATTCAACCCTCATTGCAAATTGTTTATTAGCTAAATTTACAAAATTTCAGCTGTTTGTAATAAACCAATCAAACAGGAACCATTTAAATAGCTCAACACAACTAATATAACAGCTGGTTTCTCCAAATTCAACACAAAATGCCAGTTTTAATGACTACTGCAGTCTCAGAATTATTGAACCTCTTCATGACAACTGTAGAGCACGCTTTTGCTGTTATGACCCGCTGCAGTGATGCATAGCCAGACACCAACTTCTAGCAGCGTTCCTGAGGGATCTTAGCCCATTGCTCACTGTTCTTGGATTTACGTGCTGCAACCGCCTTCTTCAAATCCCACCAAAGATTTTTTATGGGGTTCAAGTCAGACGACTGTGACAGCCACTCCAGAATCTTCCAGGACTTCTTCTGGAACCAAAGCATAGTGGACTTTGAGGTATGCTTTGGATCACTGTCGTGTTGGAAGATCCAATGATGCCCAAGCTTTAGCTTCCTCACAAAAGGCATGACGTTTTCTCCTAGGATTTCCTGATACTTTATTGAATCCGTCTTGCTCTCATCGCGCTTCAGGTTTCCAGTGCCAGAGGAAGCAAAGCAGCCCCAGAGCATCATTGAATCACCACTATGCTTCACTTTAGGCAGACTATATTTCTAACATGCAATCAAATTTCACAGTCAACAAACCCCTAGCCTGTCCAGGTATTTGACATTTTTATATCAAGCACACCTGATGCAACTAGTGAAGCCCTTGATTGGTTGCATTAGGTGTGCTTGAGAACACCTGATTTGTAAAAGTGCTCTTATGAGGGATTCTATTCAGGGGATTGAATAATTCTGAGACTGCGGTAGTCATTAAAACTAGCATTTTATGTAAAATTTGGAGAAACTTTTGTTATATTAGTTGTATCGAGCTATTTAAATTGCTCTTTTTTGATTGGTTCATTGCAAACAGCTGAAAGTTTGTACATGTTGCTAATAAACCTAATTTGCAATGGAGGTTGAACAATTGATTGCAACTGTATGTATATGTTTATGCATATAAACAGGGCTGGATTGGGACTTGTTTTCAAGCTGGAGATATGTGATACAAATCAGCCCACCCCAAACTGTAACTATACACACACAAACACACATACACAGCATTGCGTTCGTCCAAAATAACTTTTTCTAAAATCTGCACATTTTTCTATTGTTCATTTTTTTTTTCCTCTAATTTATCATTTATATGCTACACTGAGATAACCGCAGTGGCTAGTGATGGAATGAAAGCAAAAGCTTTTATCTCAAATGTGACATAATCATGAGTTGATATGCTATAAATAAATGCTAGTTAAGTAACTTAAGGTTAGTATTTCCCACATGCTCAGATATGTCCTCCTTCTTTGGTAGCTTTTTCGTTCTTGTTTTCTCACTGCCACATTTAGCTTTTTTGCAGTTCTTGCCTCTATGGAAAGAAGTAATGAACTCTGCCAGATTCGGTACACTAATCTCTCAGGGCTGATGTTAATTAATTTCTTTTATTAATTAATTTAAATAATAACAGCTGTAGAAAAGTAGATTTATGTAGCTTTGGAACAGAAACACTTGAGGTGGGGAAGGGAGGGCTATTTTAACCCCTAAATTACTACAGATGAACACTTGGATGTAACTTTTGTAGTTTGTCTTAATGTTCTTGTACTTATAATATTATATAAAATCAGAATGTGGCCAACTTTAGACTGACTGTGCACAAACATACATTTTATGTCACAAAGAAAAGATAACACCAATATCTTTGTCCGTTTTTAAATTCAGATCCTTAAACATACATATTCCATAGACAGCAATTGACTTAAAAATTCTGTATCAAACCTGTAATGCATATTTTCGTGCCATTCACATAATAATGATGCCAGACACCAAAAAATTGTTATTTTGTACTACACCTTGTTTTCTGGTCATAACAAATTTATCTTTAAAGTTTTTGGATTGTACTATCTTCACACGTTAACGGCCCTTAATTCCTTCCAACCTGCACTGACCCAGAAAAATACCATAGGGCTGCATTGGTTGAAATGACAGACACAAAATATAGATCATGTTGTTATAATGTTATGCCTACCTCCTTGTTTCTATGCTCCATTTTATCAGCTCCACTTACTATATAGGTGCACTTTGTAGTTCTACAATTACAGACTGTAGTCCATCTGTTTCTCTGCACACCATTAGCCCCTTTTACCTTGTTCTTCAATGGTCAGGACCCCCATGGACCCTCACAGTGCAGGTATGATTTGGGTGGTGGATCATTCTCAGCACTGCAGTAACACTGACATGGTGTGTTAGTGTGTGTTGTGCTGGTACGTATGGATCAGACACAGCAGTGCTGCTGCAGTTTTTAAACACCTCAGTGTCACTGCTGGACTGAGAGTAGTCCACCAACCGAAAATATCCAGCCAACAGTGTCCTGTGACCACCAATGGTCACAGACTAGAGGATGATTAGCTTATACTGTACAGCAAGAGATGAGCTATCGTCTCTGGCTTTACTTCTACAGGGTGGACCAACAACGCAGGTGCGTCTAATAGAGTGGACAGTGAGTGGACACAGTGTTTAAAAAGTCCAGCCGGCACTGCTGTGTCTGATCCACGTGTACCAGCACAACAAACACTAACACACCACCACAACGTCAGTGCTACTGCAGTGCTGAGAATGATCCACCACCCAAATAGTACCTGCTCTGTGAGGGTCCATGGGGGTCCTGAGCACTGAAATACAGGGTAAAAGGGGGCTAACAAAGTATGCAGAGAAACAGATGGACTACAGTCTGTAATTGTAGAACTACAAAGTGCACCTATATAGTAAGAGGAGCTGATAAAATGGACAATGAGCATAGAAACAAGGAGGTGGTCATAATTTTATGCCTGATCGGTGTAAACTGTAATAAATAAATAAATAATAAAATAATGAAATACGAAAAAAATATGATATGACAATAAGAAAATTATTTCAGCATGAAACATCGGCAGCTGTTTTTTTTTTGTAGTTATTATATATCTCATTTAATTTGTAGATGTGTTAAACTATTTAACATCATGATCACTTACAAATCAGGCAAATAATGTATCTTGTAACGATGGTGCTTGTCAATGTCTGGTATGTATTAGTTGGTAATCGAACAGTCGGTACTCGTAATCATGATGTTGGATGTGTGAGAAATGGGCAGGCGGCAGAACTGAGTGATTTTGACAAGGGCCAAATTAATATGGCCAAATGGCTGGGCTGGAGCATCTCCGAAATGGCAAAGCTTGTGTGTTGCTATCGACAGTGGCCCTAGGAGGGACAAACCACGAACTGGTGGGGTGTTGGGGGCCCAAGGCTCATTGATACCCAAGGGCAACAAAGTCGATCCCATTTGGTCTGAACTAACAGAAGGGCACAAGTCACAGATTTTTTAATGATGGTTACTCAAGGAATGTGTCACAACACACGACACATGCATCTCACCCTGCTGACCCCCTGTCCACCGTCAAAAGCTCCTACAATGGACACGCGAGCATCAGAACTGGACCTTGGAATAATGATAAAGGTCACCCTCTCTGATGAGTCTCGTTTTCTTTTACTTCACGTGGACAGCCTGGTAGGCGTGTGTAGCCCATGTGGGGAGATGATGGCACTGGGATGCACTGTGTAGAGAAGACAAGCTGGTGCAGGAAGTGTGATGCTCTGGGCATTGTTCTGCTGGGAAGTATTGTCAGATGCTACATATCTAAAGATTGTTGTGAACCAGGTTAACCCCTAATGGTGATGTTATTCCCTGATGGTAGTGGTCTCTTTCAGCAGAATAATGCACTCTGCCACACCTTACACATTGCTCTGGAACAGTTTGAGGAGCATTAAGAAGACTTCAGGGTGTTTCCCAGATGTCAATCAATGTATAGCAATGTCAGAGATACAGCACAGACCTTTGCTAAGTGTGGGTCTCCTAGACAGATGCTGTTTTTGTTGGGTGATTTTAATAAATGCAATGTCATGACAGAAACTAATTACTGCATCCATTTACTAATTACTTTTATGTAGGCTCCATAATACCAGTAAAAACAACAGAATATTTTCTGAATAATAAACAATAGATTATTAATATGACAGAAAATCAGGAGGACATATAACAATATTATTATGATTATGATTGATTATGATTATTATTATTAAGCATAAGAATAAGGTGGAGAATAAGTTCCTTTCTGGATATATCAGGGTGGCTTGAGGGGGTTTCAGCATTATGATGGGTAAAATCAGCTTTTATTTCAGTTTTCAATAAACTGAGTGGATCTTCTGTCTGCATCAAATAATTAGTAACAAGCCAAGGAATATAAATGCACATTATGATCATTCACAAATCAAAAGAAAAGGGGATTAGACACAGTTGGGAACACTGATTACAGGGCACTGTTGTTAACAAAACATAGATGAACATGATACCAAGGGGATTGGGGCTAGAGAGAAACAAAGGGGATGAGAAGGGCAGACAAACAAAATGGCAAATCGTGACAAGGGATGTTGTAATATTGAGGTACACTGAGAGACCAGTTCATTATGAATACCTCCCCTACGTGGTTAAAAGTATGTGGATACCCAAACATCACATCCTTAAGCACTTGTTGAATGTTTTATTTCAAAACCAAGTGTACTTATACTTGTACACTTTGCACTTCTAGTTGACTGGGGCGGCTCTAGCAAGGCAGAAATTACTTAGCCCTATGACTTATTATACCGCTAGTATTTGTCTAGGCAAATATATTTGCCCTCTGTTAGCAATGGGTGTGGCTTAAATAGCCAAAGCCAAAAATTAGAAGAGATGGCCACATAGTTTTGACCATATAGTATAACTTTTATCAGGCACTACTACCAAACTGTCCACTGCAATGAATCATAGACCCACAACTGACCAGATATAATTTTGGTGGTGGACTATTCTCAGCCCTGCTGTGACACTGCATGCTAATGGCACAAAAATATGCATTACAGATTTCATATAGAATTTAAGAATTAATGTTTAAGAATAGAGAATAGAATTTATTTTAAGTCAGTTTCTGCCTATGGAAAACAAATGTTTTATGGCCTGAATTTAAAAAATGGTCAAAGATATTGGTGTCGTCTTTGCGCAGACACTTTGAAATTGGCCACATTCTGATTTCTACTCTCTGAAATATAAGAGGCAATACAGACACTCTTCTTTAAGCTTCTTTAAGTAATATCAACTTTTAGGGGCCTTTGTTCCTCTACAAATGAGAACGTGGGGAGAATTCCTAGTGGACCGGTTACTGTGAGCTAATGAATAAACTCACACATATAAGCACAAGAATGTTAAGACATACTACAAAAGCTACATCCCAGTGTTCATACATAGTAATTTAGGAGCTAAAATAGTGACCCCCCCCCCTCCTGCCTCAGGAGTTTCTGTTCGAGAGCTACATAAATCCACTTTTCTGCAGCTGTTATTATTTAATGTACCGCTATCAGGTTAACAGGAAAGAATAAAAGCTCTGGGTCAGCACAACTATATGATGTCCCCAGGTCAAGACTGGATGATGTTCCTCAAGTGGAATAGTCACGATTTGCTGATTGTAACAGTCTTGTACAGTAGATAGAGATTAGATGAAGCAGAAGTCTGGCTCTTATTCTCACTTCCCATTCCACCTTAAATGATGTATGATTTACACCTTCAGATACCTAGTATGTAACTGCTATACTATTAAGGTGGAACAGAAATTCAATTAAGAAATTAACCAATGTAGCAGTTTTCAAATGTGAATCATGGGCAACAGAGGCAAGAACGGCAAAAAACCAAGATGCCTTGTGACTGTCACAATTATGTCACATTTAAGATTTCGCCAGTTTTCATTCTATCACTTGCTACTGCTGTTATCTCAGTGTGGCATATAAATAATAAAAAAGAGAAAGAAATTAACAACACAGAAATGCACAGATTTTAGAAAAAACTAACTAACTTTACTGCTACGATTAAAAGACCTCCATTTATCCTACTGAATAGTGAGATTCATTGTTCATTAATTTATTCATGTATCTATATCCATATATCAAGGGGCATGGGAGGTCTCAAGATGATGTTCTTAGAATAACAAAGTCTGTTAATACCAACAAAATACCAAATGCAAAATACCAAAAAACTTCAGAGAATGAAACATGATAGGAAGCACCGTAAATAAAACAGAACAAAAAGTAGGAGAAAAAAAAACGTACAACCTACATCCACAGGATTCAAAAACAGACACTTTATACAAAATATCTAAAGATTTACATGTTTTCAGTTGTTACGTCCATAGGACGTATGTTTTGTTTTGCTTGCTTCCCTTTCGTTCTTTCTCTCTCGCTCTCTTTCTCTCTCTCTCTCTCTCTCTTATTCTCTCGCTTATTAGGAACCCGCCCACTTGTGCGTGTGATTGGCTGGAGTCCCGTAACGAAATTTAATCTGATTGGCTGGCTGAAATTGCATGGCGTATATCTTCGACGGCTGCGCCCGGATGTCATCGAGGCTTTCCTCCATGGCGGCTTGGGGCGATTGTTTTTAGATCCGAACCGCAGCGCAGCTTGTTTGTTTTATTGCTAGCGATTGTCTACTCTCCTCTCAAATGAAATAGCTTAGCTTTACCTCTTGTTCTATACCCAGTTATCTCTGCAGTTAAACTGTAAGCTCATGATCTGTCTCTGTAAATGTTCACTCTTATGCCGACCAGGTTGTAGGAGTGGGTGCCATTTCTTTTGATCTTGTTTTCTCCTGTTTTTGGTATAGTTAGGGAGTCAGGAAAGACTGACTGTACTTTTGTTTCTTTGTTTGCATAGGTAAGTTAGTTCTCTAGCATCTCTAGCTAGGCTGGTTATGTTTATTGTTTTGGCGCATGCCCACTCTGACGTTCTCCTGTGTCGTATGTACAAAAGAGCAGCATAAAGAGAATAACACGATTTGACCTGTTTAAACGTCAACTGGCTCTCTTTTGTCTTTTTTTTAATGTTATGATCATCTCAAACCCCTAGACAGGTCGTAACATAAATTTGGGGCTCGGCCTTTTTTTTTTGGTTATGTGCTGGGTACTCGTTTGCTTGGCTGTTTTCTTGTGTGTGTGGGGGGGATGTGTCTTGGGCTGTGATGTTTTCATTAAGTGCATTTATTAGCGGTAGGCACCGACCCAGCTTTGATCCTTCGTTTGAAGGAGCTGGAGCTTCAGCGGCAGTTAAATCGTGCCTTGGAGATCGAGGCTGAGAGGGCTGTGAAGCTGCGACAGCTGGAGTTGGAGGCAGGAAACGCCGGACAGCCTGTTCCGGCGCCACGCAACTCTGCTCCGCCGTTATTTGCTGCTACGCCAGCTGTGGAGCGTCCGGTACCGTCACCACGCCGCTCTGTGTCATTTCGACCTTATGCTGATGAGGTTGCTGCTTTTGACGTGAGTAAACATATTAAGTTGGTCCCAAAGTTCCGTGAATCTGAAGTTGATTCATATTTTGTTGCTTTTGAGCGAGTTGCTACAACACTGCGTTGGCCGCAAGGAGTTTGGCCAATTCTGCTACAATGTACATTAGTGGGAAAAGCTCAGGAAGTGTATTCTGCTCTGCCGATTGAAGAGAGTTTAGATTATGAAGTAGTGAAATCTGCTGTGCTACGTGCGTATGAACTTGTTCCTGAAGCATACAGACAAAACTACAGAGCCCACTCGAAAACAGCCAACCAGACTTATGTAGAATTCGCTAGAGAGAAGAGACATCTGTTTAATAAGTGGTGTAACGCTAGTCAAGTATTTACGTTTGATCAGTTGCAGGAATTAATGCTTTTAGAAGATTTTAAGAGTTGTTTGCCTGAGAATCTGGTTGTATACTTGAATGAGCAGAAATTTTCTAGTCTTGCTGATGCTGCTGTTGCTGCTGATGAGTTTGCTTTGACACATAAAAGCACTTTCCCTGTACTGGCTCGCAATGAGACGACCAAGTCCAGAACCTTTCGTTCAAGTCTGATCTGGCCGTGGATAATCAAGACACTCGTCAAGGTACACCTCCGCGTTCTAGGGAAACGCGTGAGTGTTTTTATTGTCATAAACCTGGCCATCTCATTGCTGACTGCCGTGTGCTTCAGAAAAAACAGACTTCGCCTTCTCGAAAAAGTGTAGCATTAATACAGTCTGCTGCGTTTGCCAACCGCCCCACTGTTTTAAATGATGAATGTCGCCATGTAGGTTTTGAACCGTTTATTCTGCAGGGGTACGTTTCCGTTTCTAAAGCTTCTGATGATAAACAGCCTGTTACCATCCTTAGAGATACAGGAGCAGCTCAGTCTTTTATCTTGGATAACGTTCTTAGTTTGTCAGACGACACATACTGCGGTTATGATGTCCTAGTTCAGGGAATCGGCGGTGACACGTGCTCAGGCGCGCAAAGGTGATGAGTTGGATTTGGGTGACACGTTTATGGCTGCTGAAACTTGGCCCTCCTGTGAATCCAAATCAGAGCTTGTATGTTTCGATGTCCCTGAAGCTGAATCTACTCCCAAGTTGAGTGCTCATGCTTTGGATGTAGATGTAGACTGTGTAGCTTCTCGTAATTTTCTTATTGAGGCCCAACAAGCAGATCCTTCTTTGGATAAATGTAGGCAGCTGGGTTTAGAAACGTCGTCTACTAGTGATAAGCATGTGGCTTATTTTTTTGATAAAGGTTTGCTGCTGCGTAAATGGACTCCTTCTCCTCCTGCTGATCTAGAGTGCAATGCCGTATGTCAGATTGTTATCCCCAAAGTGTGCCGACAGCAAGTTTTAAGTTTAGCACATGATCATTGTCTAGCTGGACATCTTGGTGTCACGAAAACCTATAAGCGTATATGACAACATTTCTTTTGGCCTGGGTTGAAAGCAGATGTAGTAAAGTACTGTAAATCTTGTCATACGTGCCAAGTAGTGGGGAAGCCCAACCAAGCCATCCCTCCTGCGCCTTTGCACCCAATTCCAGTGATGGAAGAGCCTTTTGAGAGAATTATTTTAGATTGTGTTGGTCCTTTACCGCGAACCAAGTCAGGAAACCGATTTTTATTAACAATCATGTGTGCTGCTACTCGCTTTCCAGAAGCCATTCCTATTCGCACGTTGCGGGCCAAAGCCATTATTAAAGCTTTGATTAAATTTTGCTCTACTTTCGGGCTTCCAAAATGTATCCAAACAGACCAGGGGTCAAATTGTATGTCCAAGATATTTGCACAGGTTTTACAACAGCTTTCGGTCAAACATAAAGTTTCCAGTGCTTATCATCCCGAGAGTCAAGGAGCTTTAGAGCGCTTCCATCAGACTTTTAAGTCCATGCTGCGTAAATATTGCGCTGAGTCAGGGAATGAGTGGGATGAAGGTGTGCCTTTAGTCCTCTTTGCTATTCGTGAAACTGTTCAGGAGTCGACTTTGTTTAGCCCAGCCCAGCTTGTTTTTGGTCATTCTGTTCGAGGTCCGCTGAAGATTTTGAAAGAGAAATGGATGTCAGAGTCGGAGCCGAATCAAAATGTTCTTGATTATGTCAGTCAGTTCAGGGAGCGTCTGCATGCAGCTTGTACAGCGGCTAAATCAACGCTAACTACTTCTCAAAGCACTATGAAGCGGCGCTTCGATAAGAGAACAGTTCTTAGATCTTTTCAGCCTGGAGATGATGTTCTGGTTCTATTACCACTTGTAGGTTCCTCTTTACAAGCTAGGTTTTCTGGTCCTTATCGGATCGAGTCCAAGCTTAGTGATACAGACTACGTCATTCGTACTCCTGACCGTAGCCGAAAAACGCGAGTTTGTCATATTAATATGCTTAAGACTTATGTCTCTCGAGAAGAAAGTACCTCAGATGATTTGAAGCAAGTCTCCTCTGATAACTCTGGTTTTAGCCTTCCTGTTGCATCCGTTTCTGTGTTTTCGAGCTCTGGTGTTGATGATGATGATGATGATGATGATGATGATGATGATGATAATGGTTTAGATGCGTGTTTGGCTCCTGCACTTTGTGCACGTTTGTCAAATTCTAGTATTTTAAGTGACTTGTCCTCATTTTTATCTGATCTCGCTGTCAGTGAGCAACAGGAGATGGTAAATTTGATTGCAGAGTTTCCAAACCTTTTTTCAGATGTTCCTAGACGTACTCATGTCATCGAACATGACATCGATGTTGATGGTCACGCTCCAATTAAACAGAATTCATATCGAATAAATCCAACAAAACGTGCTATTATGAAGTCAGAAGTACAATATCTCCTTGATAATGGTTTGGCAATCCCTAGTTTTAGTCCCTGGAGCTCACCCTGTCTTTTAGTTCCTAAGCCTGATGGTACCTCACGTTTCTGTACTGATTACCGTAAAGTAAACGCAGTGACTCGTTCAGATTCTTTTCCTCTCCCTCGTATTGACGACTGTGTAGATAGAGTTGGATCAGCTAAATATGTCAGTAAGCTGGATCTACTTAAGGGTTATTGGCAGGTGCCTTTGACAGCTCGAGCTTCTGATATTTCTGCCTTCGTTACTCCTGATAGCTTTCTACAATACACAGTGATGGCTTTTGGGATGAAAAATGCACCTGCAACATTCCAAAGACTGATGAATCAGGTTTTGTTTGATGTATCCCATTGTGAAGCTTACCTCGATGATGTTATCATTTATACAGAAACGTGGGATGAGCACCTATCTGTTCTTCGAACGATTTTTCAGCGCTTAGACGCAGCTTCATTAACTTTGAATTTAGCCAAATGTGAGTTCGGAAAAGCCACCGTAGTTTACTTGGGGAAGGAAGTTGGACAGGGTAAAGTTCGCCCAGTAAATGCCAAGGTTGCGACTATTCAAGAATTCCCTGTTCCTTCTACAAAACGTGAACTGCGCCGCTTCCTAGGAATGGCTGGATATTACAGGAGTTTTTGTCGAAATTGTGCTTGTATTGCCTCTCCTTTAACAGACATTTGAGTTCTGCGTGTTCTTTTATTTGGACAGCTGACTGTCAGAGTGCTTTTGACTCTATTAAGGCCCTGTTGTGCAGCTCCCCTGTTCTGTCTGCACCTAACTTTGCACTGCCATTTAAGCTGGAGGTAGATGCCAGTGCTACTGGTGCTGGTGCTGTACTTCTACAGGAAAATAATTCGGGAATCGATCACCCCGTGTGTTATTTTTCAAAAAAAAATTCAATCAGCATCAACTTAAGTATTCGACTATCGAAAAAGAAACTTTGGCTTTGTTACTTGCTTTACAGCATTTTGAAGTCTATGTAGGCTCTAGCTCACAGCCTGTTCAGGTATTCACAGATCACAATCCACTCTCTCGCATGTATAACAGTAATCAAAGGCTGATGCGGTGGGCTTTGCTAGCTCAAGGGTACTCACTGGAGATTCGGCACAAGAAGGGCACAGATAATGTAATGGCTGATGCCTTTTCTCGTGTGTGAAACTTTTATGGGGGGGGGGAGTGTTACGTCCATAGGACGTATGTTTTGTTTTGCTTGCTTCCCTTTCGTTCTTTCTCTCTCGCTCTCTTTCTCTCTCTCTTATTCTCTCGCTTATTAGGAACCCGCCCACTTGTGCGTGTGATTGGCTGGAGTCCCGTAACGAAATTTAATCTGATTGGCTGGCTGAAATTGCATGGCGTATATCTTCGACGGCTGCGCCCGGATGTCATCGAGGCTTTCCTCCATGGCGGCTTGGGGCGATTGTTTTTAGATCCGAACCGCAGCGCAGCTTGTTTGTTTGTTTGTGTGTTTGTTTGTTTTATTGCTAGCGATTGTCTACTCTCCTCTCAAATGAAATAGCTTAGCTTTACCTCTTGTTCTATACCCAGTTATCTCTGCAGTTAAACTGTAAGCTCATGATGGGTCTCTGTAAATGTTCACTCTTATGCCGACCAGGTTGTAGGAGTGGGTGCCATTTCTTTTGATCTTGTTTTCTCCTGTTTTTGGTATAGTTAGGGAGTTAGGAAAGACTGACTGTACTTTTGTTTCTTTATGTTTGCATAGGTAAGTTAGTTCTCTAGCATCTCTAGCTAGGCTGGTTATGTTTATTGTTTTGGCGCATGCCCACTCTGACGTTCTCCTGTGTCGTATGTACAAAAGAGCAGCATAAAGAGAATAACACGATTTGACCTGTTTAAACGTCAACTGGCTCTCTTTTGTCTTTTTTTTATGTTATGATCATCTCAAACCCCTAGACAGGTCGTAACACAGTGTTTTGACAGCTTTCTTATTGTTAGAACCAGTAAATGTTTTCAGGTATTGTTTGGTTTTATTAATGAATAAAACTAAAAAGAGTTTTGATTTGAATATTTACATTAATGAATATAGAATTTAGCAATCAAATAAATAAGATTGTATAGTATTTATCTGCCTTGAAAGGGGAGGTCTTTATTAAACCAAATAACAAAGGTTCAAAACAAAGAGAAAAGTTTCAATTTTCTGTATAATAAAAGAAAAAACTATCTCTCCAAAAGCTGTAAGAGTGAGGACAGTTCCAAAATAAGTTAAACAAATTGTCAGGAGTTGAATTACAAAAAGAGCAATTAACATCTGTATCATCTTTAAATCTTTGCAAAACATTTTTGCGGGGTCAAATTTCTGTAAAATTCACCTGACTGTAAAAAGGTCACCCGTAAGGTTATTCCAATAGGACATGTCCTACTACATGTCCTGTGGTAAGCTACATGCCTGTAAAACTATAGTATATCTTTGTTATTCCATATGTAATATCTATGGGGGAAATTATGCTTATAAAATCAAGGTCCCTGAAAGAAGCATCAGACTATGAAAGTTTGAAAATTTGAAGGGGATTTTGTCAATGTTATACTTGCACAATAAAACAAAATCAAGGCCTCCTAATTTAGAGAAAATGTAACTGGGAATGAAATTCCATATAGAGGTGGTGAGATACTTTAAATGGCCAGTACTGGAAGCCAGTCACAAATCTTTAGGCTTGCCTGATCTATAAAGCTAAGCAAGCCTGGTCCTGGTCACTGTCTGGATCCTGCCTTGCCAGGAGTTCAAAGCTTTTCAACCAAACCTGTATTTTGAAACTAAATTTGTATACAGTGAAAACGTAGTTTATATTGTGGGACTAACTAGAAGTCCTAAGACAGAACATAAGAAGCCTGCATGTTCGTGGTTATATATTCTACTGAATTACTTCAGAAGGCCTGTATTGGTTTCCAGCTTCAGCTATTATATGAAAATCTATGAGAACCTTGGTCTGGTCTCATTTCAGAAACTAAGCAATGTGGGCCTTGGTCAGGGCTTGTATTGAAAACTAACTGACATTTAGAAGTTGCAATCAGGTTTTGAACCTAACCTTTACTTTAAAAATAACCTTGATTGAAAATTAATAATGTTAGAAAAAGTCAGCCTCCATTCAGTCCTAATAGTGCACACGGATACTTTAAATTGCCAGTACTGGAGTCCATCCACAGGCAGTGCATGTATGGGGCTGGGAGCCCTTAGGCTTGACTGATCTAGGAAGCTAAGCCAAGCTGGTCCTGGTCAGTGACTGGATAGGGGACCATGCTGCCTTGCCAGGAGTTCAAAGCTATTTATAGAGATATTAGTCCATAAAATACAGAATAAACACTCTTATACGCTACAACAGGAGAGGCTCAATGTCACGCTTCCGGGTTCTCCTTCCTTGCCTAGCACGCTCCAGGACTCCATTTCCCATAATTCCAGTCCTGATGATGTCACCAATTCCTCCAATCACATGCAACTGCCTCGTTCTCAGTCACCTGAGTTTTAATGTGATTCACCTGTGTCTGTTTGTCTCAGACTTTAAATAGTCTTTGGTTTGCTCTCCTCATTGCGAGGTATTGCCATTTCCCTGGTTTACTGAGCGTTGTTATTCTGATCTTTTGACTTGTGTTTTGAACCCTTTGCCTGTTTTGTAATAGTTTGTAATTTGGAATAGTCACGATTTGCTGATTGTAACAGTCTTGTACAGTAGATAGAGATTAGATGAAGCAGAAGTCTGGCTCTTATTCTCACTTCCCATTCCACCTTAAATGATGTATGATTTACACCTTCAGATACCTAGTATGTAACTGCTATACTATTAAGGTGGAACAGAAATTCAATTAAGAAATTAACCAATGTAGCAGTTTTCAAATGTGAATCATGGGCAACAGAGGCAAGAACGGCAAAAAACCAAGATGCCTTGTGACTGTCACAATTATGCCACATTTAAGATTTCGCCAGTTTTCATTCTATCACTTGCTACTGCTGTTATCTCAGTGTGGCATATAAATAATAAAAAAGAGAAAGAAATTAACAACACAGAAATGCACAGATTTGAGAAAAAACTAACTAACTTTACTGCTATGATTAAAAGACCTCCATTTATCCTACTGAATAGTGAGATTCATTGTTCATTAATTTATTCATGTATCTATATCCATATATCAAGGGGCATGAAGAATTAGAATAACAAAGTCTGTTAATACCAACAAAATACCAAATGCAAAATACCAAAAAACCTCAGAGAATGAAACATGATAGGAAGCACCGTAAATAAAACAGAACAAAAAGTAGGAGAAAAAAAAACGTACAACCTACATCCACAGGATTCAAAAACAGACACTTTATACAAAATATCTAAAGATTTACATGTTTTCAGTTGTTACGTCCATAGGACGTATGTTTTGTTTTGCTTGCTTCCCTTTCGTTCTTTCTCTCTCTTTCTCTCTCTCTCTCTCTCTTATTCTCTCGCTTATTAGGAACCCGCCCACTTGTGCGTGTGATTGGCTGGAGTCCCGTAACGAAATTTAATCTGATTGGCTGGCTGAAATTGCATGGCATATATCTTCGACGGCTGCGCCCGGATGTCATCGAGGCTTTCCTCCATGGCGGCTTGGGGCGATTGTTTTTAGATCCGAACCGCAGCGCAGCTTGTTTGTTTGTTTGTTTGTTTGTTTGTTTGTTTGTTTTATTTATTGCTAGCGATTGTCTACTCTCCTCTCAAATGAAATAGCTTAGCTTTACCTCTTGTTCTATACCCAGTTATCTCTGCAGTTAAACTGTAAGCTCATGATCTGTCTCTGTAAATGTTCACTCTTATGCCGACCAGGTTGTAGGAGTGGGTGCCATTTCTTTAGATCTTGTTTTCTCCTGTTTTTGGTATAGTTAGGGAGTTAGGAAAGACTGACTGTACTTTTGTTTCTTTGTTTGCATAGGTAAGTTAGTTCTCTAGCATCTCTAGCTAGGCTGGTTATGTTTATTGTTTTGGCGCATGCCCACTCTGACGTTCTCCTGTGTCGTATGTACAAAAGAGCAGCATAAAGAGAATAACACGATTTGACCTGTTTAAACGTCAACTGGCTCTCTTTTGTCTTTTTTTTATGTTATGATCATCTCAAACCCCTAGACAGGTCGTAACATAAACTGGGGGCTCGTCCTCTTTTTGGTTATGTGCTGGGTACTCGTTTGCTTGGCTGTTTTCTTGTGTGTGTGGGGGGATGTGTCTTGGGCTGTGATGTTTTCATTAAGTGCATTTATTAGTGCGCCGTCCGTAGAGCAGTTTGAGCAGTGTCGTAAGGCTGATTTACTACAACTCGCAGAGCATTATGATATTGGGGTGGACCGTAACGTTAGAAAAGCAGAGCTTAAATCTTCTATCTTTGGCGTGTTGGTGGCGAGGGGCATACTTTTTGAGGGGCCTTGTCCTGTGTCAGAAGGTGCGGGTGCTGTGGAGGAGGTCAGTTTAGCGGCCAGGGCGGAGGCCGGGGTCGGGGCTGTACCTCCGCGCATAGATCCCGTACGCCTGCCAGCGGTAGGCACCGACCCAGCTTTGATCCTTCGTTTGAAGGAGCTGGAGCTTCAGCGACAGTTAAATCGTGCCTTGGAGATCGAGGCTGAGAGGGCTGTGAAGCTGCGACAGCTGGAGTTGGAGGCAGGAAACGCCGGACAGCCTGTTCCGGCGCCACGCAACTCTGCTCCGCCGTTATTTGCTGCTACGCCAGCTGTGGAGCGTCCGGTACCGTCACCACGCCGCTCTGTGTCATTTCGACCTTATGCTGATGAGGTTGCTGCTTTTGACGTGAGTAAACATATTAAGTTGGTCCCAAAGTTCCGTGAATCTGAAGTTGATTCATATTTTGTTGCTTTTGAGCGAGTTGCTACAACACTGCGTTGGCCGCAAGGAGTTTGGCCAATTCTGCTACAATGTACATTAGTGGGAAAAGCTCAGGAAGTGTATTCTGCTCTGCCGATTGAAGAGAGTTTAGATTATGAAGTAGTGAAATCTGCTGTGCTACGTGCGTATGAACTTGTTCCTGAAGCATACAGACAAAACTACAGAGCCCACTCGAAAACAGCCAACCAGACTTATGTAGAATTCGCTAGAGAGAAGAGACATCTGTTTAATAAGTGGTGTAACGCTAGTCAAGTATTTACGTTTGATCAGTTGCAGGAATTAATGCTTTTAGAAGATTTTAAGAGTTGTTTGCCTGAGAATCTGGTTGTATACTTGAATGAGCAGAAATTTTCTAGTCTTGCTGATGCTGCTGTTGCTGCTGATGAGTTTGCTTTGACACATAAAAGCACTTTCCCTGTACTGGCTCGCAATGAGACGACCAAGTCCAGAACCTTTCGTTCAAGTCTGATCTGGCCGTGGATAATCAAGACACTCGTCAAGGTACACCTCCGCGTTCTAGGGAAACGCGTGAGTGTTTTTATTGTCATAAACCTGGCCATCTCATTGCTGACTGCCGTGTGCTTCAGAAAAAACAGACTTCGCCTTCTCGAAAAAGTGTAGCATTAATACAGTCTGCTGCGTTTGCCAACCGCCCCACTGTTTTAAATGATGAATGTCGCCATGTAGGTTTTGAACCGTTTATTCTGCAGGGGTACGTTTCCGTTTCTAAAGCTTCTGATGATAAACAGCCTGTTACCATCCTTAGAGATACAGGAGCAGCTCAGTCTTTTATCTTGGATAACGTTCTTAGTTTGTCAGACGACACATACTGCGGTTATGATGTCCTAGTTCAGGGAATCGAACTTAGTCCTGTCTCTGTTCCACTGCACTCCATACTTTTAGAGTCTGACTTGGTTTCTGGTGAAGTTAAGGTTGGAGTTCGGTCTCATCTGCCTGTTGCTGGTACCACATTTATATTGGGTAATGACTTAGCTGGTGGAAAGGTAACTCCTGTTCCTGAAGTCATTAGCGAGCCTAGAATAACTGCTGGAGAGGACGCTTTGCTTCAGAAATTTCCCTCTGTTTTTCCTGCATGTGCGGTGACACGTGCTCAGGCGCGCAAAGGTAATGAGTTGGATTTGGGTGACACGTTTATGGCTGCTGAAACTTGGCCCTCCTGTGAATCCAAATCAGAGCTTGTATGTTTCGATGTCCCTGAAGCTGAATCTACTCCCAAGTTGAGTGCTCATGCTTTGGATGTAGATGTAGACTGTGTAGCTTCTCGTAATTTTCTTATTGAGGCCCAACAAGCAGATCCTTCTTTGGATAAATGTAGGCAGCTGGGTTTAGAAACGTCGTCTACTAGTGATAAGCATGTGGCTTATTTTTTTGATAAAGGTTTGCTGCTGCGTAAATGGACTCCTTCTCCTCCTGCTGATCTAGAGTGCAATGCCGTGTGTGGTTGGTATAGTGTAGTGGGTAACATCTCTGCCTTCCACGCTGTAGGCTGGGGTTCAATCCCCACCTGGGCAAACACCCTACGCTTTATCAATAAGAGTCCTTGGGCAAGACTCCTAACACTACCTTCGCCTACCTGTGTAAAAATGATGAAATTGTAAGTTGCTCTGGATAAGAGCGTCTGCCAAATGCTGTAAATGTCAGATTGTTATCCCCAAAGTGTGCCGACAGCAAGTTTTAAGTTTAGCACATGATCATTGTCTAGCTGGACATCTTGGTGTCACGAAAACCTATAAGCGTATATGACAACATTTCTTTTGGCCTGGGTTGAAAGCAGATGTAGTAAAGTACTGTAAATCTTGTCATACGTGCCAAGTAGTGGGGAAGCCCAACCAAGCCATCCCTCCTGCGCCTTTGCACCCAATTCCAGTGATGGAAGAGCCTTTTGAGAGAATTATTTTAGATTGTGTTGGTCCTTTACCGCGAACCAAGTCAGGAAACCGATTTTTATTAACAATCATGTGTGCTGCTACTCGCTTTCCAGAAGCCATTCCTATTCGCACGTTGCGGGCCAAAGCCATTATTAAAGCTTTGATTAAATTTTGCTCTACTTTCGGGCTTCCAAAATGTATCCAAACAGACCAGGGGTCAAATTGTATGTCCAAGATATTTGCACAGGTTTTACAACAGCTTTCGGTCAAACATAAAGTTTCCAGTGCTTATCATCCCGAGAGTCAAGGAGCTTTAGAGCGCTTCCATCAGACTTTTAAGTCCATGCTGCGTAAATATTGCGCTGAGTCAGGGAATGAGTGGGATGAAGGTGTGCCTTTAGTCCTCTTTGCTATTCGTGAAACTGTTCAGGAGTCGACTTTGTTTAGCCCAGCCCAGCTTGTTTTTGGTCATTCTGTTCGAGGTCCGCTGAAGATTTTGAAAGAGAAATGGATGTCAGAGTCGGAGCCGAATCAAAATGTTCTTGATTATGTCAGTCAGTTCAGGGAGCGTCTGCATGCAGCTTGTACAGCGGCTAAATCAACGCTAACTACTTCTCAAAGCACTATGAAGCGGCGCTTCGATAAGAGAACAGTTCTTAGATCTTTTCAGCCTGGAGATGATGTTCTGGTTCTATTACCACTTGTAGGTTCCTCTTTACAAGCTAGGTTTTCTGGTCCTTATCGGATCGAGTCCAAGCTTAGTGATACAGACTACGTCATTCGTACTCCTGACCGTAGCCGAAAAACGCGAGTTTGTCATATTAATATGCTTAAGACTTATGTCTCTCGAGAAGAAAGTACCTCAGATGATTTGAAGCAAGTCTCCTCTGATAACTCTGGTTTTAGCCTTCCTGTTGCATCCGTTTCTGTGTTTTCGAGCTCTGGTGTTGATGATGATGATGATGATGATGATGATGATGATAATGGTTTAGATGCGTGTTTGGCTCCTGCACTTTGTGCACGTTTGTCAAATTCTAGTATTTTAAGTGACTTGTCCTCATTTTTATCTGATCTCGCTGTCAGTGATCAACAGGAGATGGTAAATTTGATTGCAGAGTTTCCAAACCTTTTTTCAGATGTTCCTAGACGTACTCATGTCATCGAACATGACATCGATGTTGATGGTCACGCTCCAATTAAACAGAATTCATATCGAATAAATCCAACAAAACGTGCTATTATGAAGTCAGAAGTACAATATCTCCTTGATAATGGTTTGGCAATCCCTAGTTTTAGTCCCTGGAGCTCACCCTGTCTTTTAGTTCCTAAGCCTGATGGTACCTCACGTTTCTGTACTGATTACCGTAAAGTAAACGCAGTGACTCGTTCAGATTCTTTTCCTCTCCCTCGTATTGACGACTGTGTAGATAGAGTTGGATCAGCTAAATATGTCAGTAAGCTGGATCTACTTAAGGGCTATTGGCAGGTGCCTTTGACAGCTCGAGCTTCTGATATTTCTGCCTTCGTTACTCCTGATAGCTTTCTACAATACACAGTGATGGCTTTTGGGATGAAAAATGCACCTGCAACATTCCAAAGACTGATGAATCAGGTTTTGTTTGATGTATCCCATTGTGAAGCTTACCTCGATGATGTTATCATTTATACAGAAACGTGGGATGAGCACCTATCTGTTCTTCGAACGATTTTTCAGCGCTTAGACGCAGCTTCATTAACTTTGAATTTAGCCAAATGTGAGTTCGGAAAAGCCACCGTAGTTTACTTGGGGAAGGAAGTTGGACAGGGTAAAGTTCGCCCAGTAAATGCCAAGGTTGCGACTATTCAAGAATTCCCTGTTCCTTCTACAAAACGTGAACTGCGCCGCTTCCTAGGAATGGCTGGATATTACAGGAGTTTTTGTCGAAATTGTGCTTGTATTGCCTCTCCTTTAACAGACATTTGAGTTCTGCGTGTTCTTTTATTTGGACAGCTGACTGTCAGAGTGCTTTTGACTCTATTAAGGCCCTGTTGTGCAGCTCCCCTGTTCTGTCTGCACCTAACTTTGCACTGCCATTTAAGCTGGAGGTAGATGCCAGTGCTACTGGTGCTGGTGCTGTACTTCTACAGGAAAATAATTCGGGAATCGATCACCCCGTGTGTTATTTTTCAAAAAAAAATTCAATCAGCATCAACTTAAGTATTCGACTATCGAAAAAGAAACTTTGGCTTTGTTACTTGCTTTACAGCATTTTGAAGTCTATGTAGGCTCTAGCTCACAGCCTGTTCAGGTATTCACAGATCACAATCCACTCTCTCGCATGTATAACAGTAATCAAAGGCTGATGCGGTGGGCTTTGCTAGCTCAAGGGTACTCACTGGAGATTCGGCACAAGAAGGGCACAGATAATGTAATGGCTGATGCTTTTTCTCGTGTGTGAAACTTTTATGGGGGGGTGGGAGTGTTACGTCCATAGGACGTATGTTTTGTTTTGCTTGCTTCCCTTTCGTTCTTTCTCTCTCTTTCTCTCTCTCTCTCTCTCTTATTCTCTCGCTTATTAGGAACCCGCCCACTTGTGCGTGTGATTGGCTGGAGTCCCGTAACGAAATTTAATCTGATTGGCTGGCTGAAATTGCATGGCGTATATCTTCGACGGCTGCGCCCGGATGTCATCGAGGCTTTCCTCCATGGCGGCTTGGGGCGATTGTTTTTAGATCCGAACCGCAGCGCAGCTTGTTTGTTTGTTTTATTGCTAGCGATTGTCTACTCTCCTCTCAAATGAAATAGCTTAGCTTTACCTCTTGTTCTATACCCAGTTATCTCTGCAGTTAAACTGTAAGCTCATGATCTGTCTCTGTAAATGTTCACTCTTATGCCGACCAGGTTGTAGGAGTGGGTGCCATTTCTTTTGATCTTGTTTTCTCCTGTTTTTGGTATAGTTAGGGAGTTAGGAAAGACTGACTGTACTTTTGTTTCTTTATGTTTGCATAGGTAAGTTAGTTCTCTAGCATCTCTAGCTAGGCTGGTTATGTTTATTGTTTTGGCGCATGCCCACTCTGACGTTCTCCTGTGTCGTATGTACAAAAGAGCAGCATAAAGAGAATAACACGATTTGACCTGTTTAAACGTCAACTGGCTCTCTTTTGTCTTTTTTTTATGTTATGATCATCTCAAACCCCTAGACAGGTCGTAACATAAACTGGGGGCTCGTCCTCTTTTTGGTTATGTGCTGGGTACTCGTTTGCTTGGCTGTTTTCTTGTGTGTGTGGGGGGATGTGTCTTGGGCTGTGATGTTTTCATTAAGTGCATTTATTAGTGCGCCGTCCGTAGAGCAGTTTGAGCAGTGTCGTAAGGCTGATTTACTACAACTCGCAGAGCATTATGATATTGGGGTGGACCGTAACGTTAGAAAAGCAGAGCTTAAATCTTCTATCTTTGGCGTGTTGGTGGCGAGGGGCATACTTTTTGAGGGGCCTTGTCCTGTGTCAGAAGGTGCGGGTGCTGTGGAGGAGGTCAGTTTAGCGGCCAGGGCGGAGGCCGGGGTCGGGGCTGTACCTCCGCGCATAGATCCCGTACGCCTGCCAGCGGTAGGCACCGACCCAGCTTTGATCCTTCGTTTGAAGGAGCTGGAGCTTCAGCGACAGTTAAATCGTGCCTTGGAGATCGAGGCTGAGAGGGCTGTGAAGCTGCGACAGCTGGAGTTGGAGGCAGGAAACGCCGGACAGCCTGTTCCGGCGCCACGCAACTCTGCTCCGCCGTTATTTGCTGCTACGCCAGCTGTGGAGCGTCCGGTACCGTCACCACGCCGCTCTGTGTCATTTCGACCTTATGCTGATGAGGTTGCTGCTTTTGACGTGAGTAAACATATTAAGTTGGTCCCAAAGTTCCGTGAATCTGAAGTTGATTCATATTTTGTTGCTTTTGAGCGAGTTGCTACAACACTGCGTTGGCCGCAAGGAGTTTGGCCAATTCTGCTACAATGTACATTAGTGGGAAAAGCTCAGGAAGTGTATTCTGCTCTGCCGATTGAAGAGAGTTTAGATTATGAAGTAGTGAAATCTGCTGTGCTACGTGCGTATGAACTTGTTCCTGAAGCATACAGACAAAACTACAGAGCCCACTCGAAAACAGCCAACCAGACTTATGTAGAATTCGCTAGAGAGAAGAGACATCTGTTTAATAAGTGGTGTAACGCTAGTCAAGTATTTACGTTTGATCAGTTGCAGGAATTAATGCTTTTAGAAGATTTTAAGAGTTGTTTGCCTGAGAATCTGGTTGTATACTTGAATGAGCAGAAATTTTCTAGTCTTGCTGATGCTGCTGTTGCTGCTGATGAGTTTGCTTTGACACATAAAAGCACTTTCCCTGTACTGGCTCGCAATGAGACGACCAAGTCCAGAACCTTTCGTTCAAGTCTGATCTGGCCGTGGATAATCAAGACACTCGTCAAGGTACACCTCCGCGTTCTAGGGAAACGCGTGAGTGTTTTTATTGTCATAAACCTGGCCATCTCATTGCTGACTGCCGTGTGCTTCAGAAAAAACAGACTTCGCCTTCTCGAAAAAGTGTAGCATTAATACAGTCTGCTGCGTTTGCCAACCGCCCCACTGTTTTAAATGATGAATGTCGCCATGTAGGTTTTGAACCGTTTATTCTGCAGGGGTACGTTTCCGTTTCTAAAGCTTCTGATGATAAACAGCCTGTTACCATCCTTAGAGATACAGGAGCAGCTCAGTCTTTTATCTTGGATAACGTTCTTAGTTTGTCAGACGACACATACTGCGGTTATGATGTCCTAGTTCAGGGAATCGAACTTAGTCCTGTCTCTGTTCCACTGCACTCCATACTTTTAGAGTCTGACTTGGTTTCTGGTGAAGTTAAGGTTGGAGTTCGGTCTCATCTGCCTGTTGCTGGTACCACATTTATATTGGGTAATGACTTAGCTGGTGGAAAGGTAACTCCTGTTCCTGAAGTCATTAGCGAGCCTAGAATAACTGCTGGAGAGGACGCTTTGCTTCAGAAATTTCCCTCTGTTTTTCCTGCATGTGCGGTGACACGTGCTCAGGCGCGCAAAGGTAATGAGTTGGATTTGGGTGACACGTTTATGGCTGCTGAAACTTGGCCCTCCTGTGAATCCAAATCAGAGCTTGTATGTTTCGATGTCCCTGAAGCTGAATCTACTCCCAAGTTGAGTGCTCATGCTTTGGATGTAGATGTAGACTGTGTAGCTTCTCGTAATTTTCTTATTGAGGCCCAACAAGCAGATCCTTCTTTGGATAAATGTAGGCAGCTGGGTTTAGAAACGTCGTCTACTAGTGATAAGCATGTGGCTTATTTTTTTGATAAAGGTTTGCTGCTGCGTAAATGGACTCCTCCTCCTCCTGCTGATCTAGAGTGCAATGCCGTGTGTGGTTGGTATAGTGTAGTGGGTAACATCTCTGCCTTCCACGCTGTAGGCTGGGGTTCAATCCCCACCTGGGCAAACACCCTACGCTTTATCAATAAGAGTCCTTGGGCAAGACTCCTAACACTACCTTCGCCTACCTGTGTAAAAATGATGAAATTGTAAGTTGCTCTGGATAAGAGCGTCTGCCAAATGCTGTAAATGTCAGATTGTTATCCCCAAAGTGTGCCGACAGCAAGTTTTAAGTTTAGCACATGATCATTGTCTAGCTGGACATCTTGGTGTCACGAAAACCTATAAGCGTATATGACAACATTTCTTTTGGCCTGGGTTGAAAGCAGATGTAGTAAAGTACTGTAAATCTTGTCATACGTGCCAAGTAGTGGGGAAGCCCAACCAAGCCATCCCTCCTGCGCCTTTGCACCCAATTCCAGTGATGGAAGAGCCTTTTGAGAGAATTATTTTAGATTGTGTTGGTCCTTTACCGCGAACCAAGTCAGGAAACCGATTTTTATTAACAATCATGTGTGCTGCTACTCGCTTTCCAGAAGCCATTCCTATTCGCACGTTGCGGGCCAAAGCCATTATTAAAGCTTTGATTAAATTTTGCTCTACTTTCGGGCTTCCAAAATGTATCCAAACAGACCAGGGGTCAAATTGTATGTCCAAGATATTTGCACAGGTTTTACAACAGCTTTCGGTCAAACATAAAGTTTCCAGTGCTTATCATCCCGAGAGTCAAGGAGCTTTAGAGCGCTTCCATCAGACTTTTAAGTCCATGCTGCGTAAATATTGCGCTGAGTCAGGGAATGAGTGGGATGAAGGTGTGCCTTTAGTCCTCTTTGCTATTCGTGAAACTGTTCAGGAGTCGACTTTGTTTAGCCCAGCCCAGCTTGTTTTTGGTCATTCTGTTCGAGGTCCGCTGAAGATTTTGAAAGAGAAATGGATGTCAGAGTCGGAGCCGAATCAAAATGTTCTTGATTATGTCAGTCAGTTCAGGGAGCGTCTGCATGCAGCTTGTACAGCGGCTAAATCAACGCTAACTACTTCTCAAAGCACTATGAAGCGGCGCTTCGATAAGAGAACAGTTCTTAGATCTTTTCAGCCTGGAGATGATGTTCTGGTTCTATTACCACTTGTAGGTTCCTCTTTACAAGCTAGGTTTTCTGGTCCTTATCGGATCGAGTCCAAGCTTAGTGATACAGACTACGTCATTCGTACTCCTGACCGTAGCCGAAAAACGCGAGTTTGTCATATTAATATGCTTAAGACTTATGTCTCTCGAGAAGAAAGTACCTCAGATGATTTGAAGCAAGTCTCCTCTGATAACTCTGGTTTTAGCCTTCCTGTTGCATCCGTTTCTGTGTTTTCGAGCTCTGGTGTTGATGATGATGATGATGATGATGATGATAATGGTTTAGATGCGTGTTTGGCTCCTGCACTTTGTGCACGTTTGTCAAATTCTAGTATTTTAAGTGACTTGTCCTCATTTTTATCTGATCTCGCTGTCAGTGATCAACAGGAGATGGTAAATTTGATTGCAGAGTTTCCAAACCTTTTTTCAGATGTTCCTAGACGTACTCATGTCATCGAACATGACATCGATGTTGATGGTCACGCTCCAATTAAACAGAATTCATATCGAATAAATCCAACAAAACGTGCTATTATGAAGTCAGAAGTACAATATCTCCTTGATAATGGTTTGGCAATCCCTAGTTTTAGTCCCTGGAGCTCACCCTGTCTTTTAGTTCCTAAGCCTGATGGTACCTCACGTTTCTGTACTGATTACCGTAAAGTAAACGCAGTGACTCGTTCAGATTCTTTTCCTCTCCCTCGTATTGACGACTGTGTAGATAGAGTTGGATCAGCTAAATATGTCAGTAAGCTGGATCTACTTAAGGGCTATTGGCAGGTGCCTTTGACAGCTCGAGCTTCTGATATTTCTGCCTTCGTTACTCCTGATAGCTTTCTACAATACACAGTGATGGCTTTTGGGATGAAAAATGCACCTGCAACATTCCAAAGACTGATGAATCAGGTTTTGTTTGATGTATCCCATTGTGAAGCTTACCTCGATGATGTTATCATTTATACAGAAACGTGGGATGAGCACCTATCTGTTCTTCGAACGATTTTTCAGCGCTTAGACGCAGCTTCATTAACTTTGAATTTAGCCAAATGTGAGTTCGGAAAAGCCACCGTAGTTTACTTGGGGAAGGAAGTTGGACAGGGTAAAGTTCGCCCAGTAAATGCCAAGGTTGCGACTATTCAAGAATTCCCTGTTCCTTCTACAAAACGTGAACTGCGCCGCTTCCTAGGAATGGCTGGATATTACAGGAGTTTTTGTCGAAATTGTGCTTGTATTGCCTCTCCTTTAACAGACATTTGAGTTCTGCGTGTTCTTTTATTTGGACAGCTGACTGTCAGAGTGCTTTTGACTCTATTAAGGCCCTGTTGTGCAGCTCCCCTGTTCTGTCTGCACCTAACTTTGCACTGCCATTTAAGCTGGAGGTAGATGCCAGTGCTACTGGTGCTGGTGCTGTACTTCTACAGGAAAATAATTCGGGAATCGATCACCCCGTGTGTTATTTTTCAAAAAAAAATTCAATCAGCATCAACTTAAGTATTCGACTATCGAAAAAGAAACTTTGGCTTTGTTACTTGCTTTACAGCATTTTGAAGTCTATGTAGGCTCTAGCTCACAGCCTGTTCAGGTATTCACAGA